AGGATTTGGGGCATGCATGCACACATGACCAGTGTGTTTTTCAAGCCACTGGAACTGGGATTTAAACTATGTGGTTAGCCGTGTAGAGTCCAGCTCCCTAACCACCAGACCATGGAGCCAATCTTTCCATATTTTTAACAAATGTTAACATTTTTAGTACTTTAGTACTTTAAAAGTAAGATCTGTTAGTAATGAATTAATTTCTGTTCTCGTTTATCTGACAATGTATTTGGTCTTTACTTTTTAAGGATATTTGCTGTGGAAATAGATCTCTAGACCAGCAGTTAATTTCTTTTACCACTCTGAAGGTAGCATATCATTATCTTCTGGCTTCCATCTTTTCTGCTGAGAAGTCAGCTAAAATCTTAGTATTATCTTAGTATCTTTTCTGTTTTTGAGATCCCTTTTCATTGATTTTTGTAAATTTCACTATAAGATGTATATAGTTTCCTTTATACATATGTCAGTGTTGGAGTCATAGTGCTTCTTCCATCTTTGGCTTAATATCCTCTAACAGTTTGGGAATGTTCATGGCCATTATCTTTTCATTTATGTCTTTTGCCCCTTCTTCTCTTCATGACCTATAGCAAAATTAAAAGAAGAATATAAAATAGAGCCTATGTATAGTCTACAAAATCTGAAATATTTGCTATCTAGCCCTTTATAGAAAAAATTTGCCAACCTCTAACTTCTGGGTCTGTTTCTATTGTCTGTTTTTAATCTCTTGGTCCTCTTTCTTATTATGCTTGGAAATCTTTTCTTAGTTTTTATTTATTATAGTTTTCTAAATCCAGTAGAAATTTTTTTTTGGATAGGTTTTCACTATAGGGTGCGTGCGCTCACCAGACAGACAGAGAGAGGCATAGAGACAGAAAGCGAGAAATCACCCCCCCGGGGGGATGGTCACGCTGCAATCACTTCTCCTCCATTCTCCTCTCGGGATCTTGGGCACGCACACACACGCTCCCGACGTGAGTTTTAAGCCACCGGGCCCGGGACACGAACCGCGGTCGACTATGTGGGAGTCCATCGACACAGTCATTACACTAACTGCTGGTTCCCAGTCCAGCAGAAATTTTAAAATAAGGTATAACATTGCATAAAGTGTAGTTTAGTGAGTTTTAAATTATGGATAGACTCACCTAACCATGATAAAAATAAAGACATATAACACTTGCAGTATCCCAGAAAACTCCCTTAATATCTCTCAAAAATACATATTTCTTGCCAAAGACAGCCACTCTTACAACTTTTATCACCGTAATTTCCTTTTGCTTGTTCTTAAACTTTATGTAAATGGAGTAATACTATATTTGGTTTTATGTTAATTTTTTTTCAATATTATGTCCAATCCATCTTGTTGCACACAGCAATAGTTTAATCCTTTTTATTGCTGTGGGATATTCCATTGTGTTGCATTGTCTGAAAAGTCATGATGGATTTTTGGGGAGCCAGCAGTTAGCGTAATGGCTATGTCGCTGTATTCCCACGTAGTTGACCGCAGTTCAAGTCCCGGACCTGGTGGCTTAGAACTCACACCGGGCGCGTGTGTGTGCGTGCCCAAGATCCCGAGAGGAGAATGGAGGAGAAGGGATTGCGGCGTGACCATCCCCCCTGGGGGGTGATTTCTCGCTTTCTGTCTCTATGTCTCTGTCTGTCTGGCGAGCGCACGCGCCCTATAGCGAAAACCTCTCAAAAAAAAAGTCATGATGGATTTTTGCGTAGAAAAACATGAAAAAATATGTCATGACTTTTCCAGTGACCCAATGTAAGTATCCCATTCCATACTATAGTTGATACGTATACATCTGGGTTTTATGTATTGCACTTTAGACTGTAATCTATCTAAAATTGTTATCAACTTTCATGGTTTTCCACAAGGGTATCCATTGTCCCAGGGTCATCTGTGCAGAAGACTGTTCTTTCCTCATTGTACTGTGGCGTGCCTTTGTTATGGATAAGGTGACCACTTATGTGGGGAGGTCTATGCTGGGATCTCCATTCGGTTCCATTAGTCTGTTTATCTGCTGTGTCATTGTCACCCTGTTATCATGACTGAGACTTTTTCCTTATTGTATTCTGACATAGACGCTAGCAAAGTAACTGTAGGGTTTGCAGTCTCATTTCTTCAGTGGTTATAGATGGTTAGAATTCTGATACCAGATAAATCAGTATGCCAGAGAAATAATTCCTATTTTAGGCAAAAGAGCTATTAGAAATTTGCTGTACGCCCTCCACATGTTCTGTGCAGTTCAGAGCGTTGCTACTTCAGGGCTATAAATTTAGAGCTCCCCTGCTTTCTTTTTTTTTTTTCCAGCTAGCCTCCCCCTAACTTCCAAAAAAAGTACAGCCAAGAAAAGATTCTCCGTATAAAGTCTCTGATGATGAAAAAGAAAATCTTCAAAATAAATGATTAATTCTGGGCTTCCAGCAGATATAATATTTAGTTTGATTTGATCTATCTGGTTCTCAGTTTTTCCTACATCAGTGAGTGATGTTTCTTTCACTTTTTATATTTTAGTATTCTGCAGTTTTTTCTTTCTTTCTTTTTTTACCAAAAGCATCTATTTAACTTTTTAAATTATAGTTCTCTTCTTTTCTTTTTCCTTCAAGATTTTTGTCATAGGGTGTGTATTCTTGCCAGAAAGAGAGAGGTAAAGTGAGAAATTACCCCCCAAGGGGGATGGACATGCCTCAATCCCTTCTCCTCTGTTCTACTTTCACGATTTAGGGCACGCATGCACACATACACACACCTGGCGAGAGTTTCAAGCCACTGAGTTCAAGACTTGATCCCCTGTGGGCTACAGGGAACTCCAGCACCTTAACCACCACTCCACCTGCTGGACCCTTTAATTATAATATTTTAAAGGGTCTTTTAATTAAAACAAAAGTTAAAGGTATTCTCTCATAAACAGAGATAAAACACATATTTTTAAAATTGGAATCTTTGACTATACCATGGGGATTAAGTTGAATGGGAGAAAAAAAATTATTTTAATTAGTTCTTAAATGGCTTAAACATATCTGTAGAAATACTTTCCTGTTGGGGAAAAAAAGAAAAGGTGATTGAAGATTAGTGTGAGGGAGTGGAGGAGGGTTTGGGGACCAAGATCCTGGATCTGTGTTTACAAAAGTCTCAGTTCTTTATTAAAGTTGTGAGTCCACACCTAATTCATAAAAATACATTTTAGAGTTAGATGCATGGAAGCCAGTTACCTGCACCTTTTCTTTCTAAATATACAGCTCTGGAAAGGGCAGTTATCTCTGGAAATTCACGTGTCATCATTAAGCATCTTATTTACTAAGATAAATTTATTGCCTGAACAGTTGAGGGGAAAATCAGAGAATATCTTCATAAATCAGAAATGGCACAAGTTTTCTGGAGTGACTGTACCAGATAAATTATTTAATTATTCATAAATAATAGGTTTGTGACTATTATATTTAATGATAAACTAATAAAAGAATGCTTGTTCGTAAGAGTAACATTTATTAGATGCTTCTTATATACCAGGACTTACGCCGTATTTCAGATGAAATGATCTACTGAACAGTCTCAGCCCTGGGGGGCAGGTATTATTTTTGCCCCCACCCTTATAGATAAGGTAGTCAAAGTTTGGCTTAGAGAGGTTAAAAAACTTGAGGGTTCTGAGGACCAGCAGGTGGCATGGTGGTTAAGGCGCTGGACACTCCCACTGGCTGACCACGATTCAAGTCCTGGACCTGGTGACTTGCTTTCTCACTTTCTCTCTCTTTTTTTTTTTGTCTCTCTCTGGTCAAATTAAAATAAATAAATGAATAAATAAAATTAAGAATAAATAATTATTAAAAAAGAAAAAGCTTGATGGTTCTGGCCTGACCTCAGATCTTGTGTACTTACTAATTTGTTTCCAAGATTCCCTTCCACCTTGTTTCTGTGTGTTTAAAGTCCCCCCTATTTTTTCAAATAGTAGTTACTGGTAAGTCTGTTTTATATTTCAGTATTTAGCTTCAATATGTATAGCTCTTAAATCTTTTAATTAGCGATTGCTTGGCATTAGAACTAGAGCCAGTTGAAAGAAATGAATGAAACCAACATACTTGCAAGCAAATTCTGTTTCTCACCAAATGGTAGTCCTTTTATTTTAGATTTTGCCATATGGCTTGTGTACTTGCCAGAGAGAGACAGAGAGAGGAAAAGTAAGAAGTCACCCCTCAGAGGGGATGGCCATGCCACAGTTCCTTCTCCTCCATTTTCTTCTTCTTTTTTTTTTAATTTAAGAGAGATTTTTGCTATCGGGCATGTGTGCTCTCCAGATAGAGAGAAAGCCAGAAATCACCCCTCCCGGGGCCTCCCGGGGGGGGGGGGGGGGCTGTTTTCAGCGTCTTGTACG